TTTGCGTAACTTGTCAGTGAACTACGGCTATGTGTAGTAAATGCTGCTCCATCTGAAAGCACGTGATGATGATTTACTACTAATCACAGAACCGGCTTTACTAACAAAATGCGCATGACAATCGCATTCGATTAATCGTGCAGCCCTAATGCTAAATATAAAAAATTATAGAATTACAATGTAAAAGATTATTATTGTGTAGGCTACATAGATATAAAAATTGCTCAAGAAATCTCGCAGTTCTGACTCTGACTTTATATCTTGCAGTCTGAATTGCGATTTGCGAGAACTCCGAATTGTGAGATTAAAATAAATTGCAAGTACCTTTTTTTATTCCACAGCGAGAACAAGCTTCCATAGTCTACACATGGACTATCATATACACACACCATTCACAGGATTGTGGGTCATGAGATCTTTCAACTCCATAAGTGCAACAAATACTGCAAATAACCAAGCAGAGAATGGGACAGCCATTGCTCACCTCTGCAGTAGTTCTGAGAGTCCGGCATGAAACCCACGCTACACTGGAGTGTATGTGTTGAGCTATGAATGACTCTTGAGTAATCTCCCCTGGAGTTGGGGGATAAGCCGGGCTGAACTTCTACTCTTTCCACTGGCGGGGGGGTAGTGGGCTCATCCTCGCCGTTACTGATGATTATCCGAGCGTTGTGAGGAAGGCAGAGGTAGCCACCAAAATGGTTGACGCATTTCATGCCCCCTTTGCAGGCTTCCTGCAGTGTCTTGCACTCATCTATATCTGTGAGGAAAATAGACACAAAAGTAGTTATCTTTCTCTTTACATGAATATCTAGCACAGGTCCTAATTATACAGTATGCTAATTCATGGTGGGTTTCTAATGGCTGATGCTGGTATTCTGATATACCAGTGCAGGTGTAGGTGTATACTGTATAAATGTGATAATACTGTGGTGATCTCAGAAGGTCCAAACATTGGCCAGTAAAGCAGCTTGGCCGATATACTGGTGTAGCACTAACAGCTTAAGGCTTAAGCTATCAAGACATACATTTGAGAGGAGACAAGCTGTTACCTTTACAGCTTTGTTTTTCATAGTCAAATTCATAACCTTCAGTGCACTGCAAAAGAAGAGTCAAAGGCAAAGAAAAAATAAATACTTGGTCAAAAAAACAATGGAACACAGACAAATCTTTTTACAGTTATTAGCACTTCAAGCAAGACGTCAAATCTATCTATCTATCGTTCTATCTATCTATCTGTCCATACACCTGTTCAATATCTATCTATCTATCTATCATCTATCTATCTATCCATCCATCCATCTATCTATCTATCTATACACCTGTCCAATATCTATCTATCTATCTATCTGTCTGTCTGTCTGTCTGTCTGTCTGTCTGTCTGTCTGTCTGTCCGTCCGTCCGTCCGTCCGTCCGTCCGTCCGTTCGTCCGTCCGTCCGTCTATCCATCCATCCAACCATCATCCATCCATCCAACTAACCATCCATCCCTATCTATCTGTCCATACACCTGTTCAATATCTATCTATCTATCTATCATCTATCTATCTATCCATCCATCCATCTATCTATCTATCTATACACCTGTCCAATATCTATCTATCTATCTATCTGTCTGTCCGTCCGTCCGTCCGTCCGTCCGTCCGTCCGTCCGTCTATCCGTCCGTCCGTCTATCCATCCATCCAACCATCATCCATCCATCCAACTAACCATCCATCCATCCATCCATCCACCTGTCCAATATCTGTCTGTCTAACTGTCTGTCTGTCTGTCCGTCCGTCCGTCCATCCGTCCGTCCGTCCGTCCGTCCATCCATCCATCCATCCATCCATCATCCATCCAACCATCATCCATCCATCCAACTAACCATCCATCCATCCATCCATCCACCTGTCCAATATCTGTCTGTCTAACTGTCTGTCTGTCT